ATCTAAGTGCCCACCAGTGAACGCCAATGGGATAGACTAAAATAGATTCATTATAGTCCGATAAGCTGTAGTCTGAATTGTATGGACGGCAGTCAGAGGCTCGTAGTCGGTCCGTCCCGACGATTGGACATGCTGCTCCTCAAGCGGTATTATCGAGTTCGCGACTTCTGCCATGTTGAAGGCATGATTGTCTACTCTGACCTGGACTGAAATACCACCCTTTCCATGAGAGAGAGGAAGCAATGCAAAGCCTGGACCAAACAGTAGACTGGCAATGACCCTCCAGAGAACGGTGAGTGCAACGGAAAATTTACGCAATAAAAGCAGGACCTTTCGACGCCAGCCCGAATCTTTGAATGTTTCGGGTTTCTCAAGATCCCACCAGTTGAGGTCAGAACTAAATGTTGTAGATTCCCACCAAAAACGTGAAAATTCGATCCACCGACTAGGAGTCTGAAATCGTCTCTTGGAACCAACAACAGCGCTGAAGCCATACATACATGGGCATCTGGCCCGGCTTGAGCCGGAACACCGAGCTGAAAAGATCCAATTGGTGCCATGCCACACTGATGATCAGCTCTATGAGCCGTATTGCATCCTCCGCGCAACGCTTCATATTACCCAGATGGAAGAAGGGGGCGCGTACGAGCCAATCTGTGCGCTGGTCGCGTCGGTTAGCGGGCTCTACGCCCAGGTTGCAAACCCGGTGGCCAAGCAGATACCCAGAAGCATGGTGACATTGAAGACGACGCGGTCGAGAACGAGTTCCGTGGCCTTCTCAAACGCCTTCAAATTCGCCTCCTGCTCCTGCTCTTCTTTAACAGCTTCAAGGCCAGAGATTTCTTCGTCGTTTTTCTCCTCTTGTTCTGTATCATCAAAGTACATCCGTATCTTTCCTATTTTCTCCGTCATTGTCATTGGCAGAATGGCCCCCACTTGCAGTGCTATTGCGCGTGCCTTTCGGAGTAAGGCCTTGAGCACCGCTTTCAGGTTTGCGTTTGCTATAGAAAATACCTTTGGCGGGGACGTTGAACCGGCCAGGGGAATTCTTCAGAGTCCTCGACGTCAGCGTCATCGACGTTTTCTTCCTCGCCGTATTCTTCCTCATCGGATTCTTCATGGCGGTCGTAAGTGATGACTTCAGGCTCGGCGTTTGCACGATATGTCTTTTTGAGTTATCTTACTCGTTTCACGTTTCCAAGGATGCCGATATCGAAGCTGTCCATCGCAATCACTCCTCCGTCGCGCCGATAACGAGTTCATCGCAAAGCCACAAAATATGCTCGCCGGGATTCATCAAGAAGAAGCCAGCCTGGAAGATCCATCTCCAAGATGCTTGCTGGGCAAGGCACTCGTAGATGCCAATTAACGTATAGCAGCTATAGAGTGACTGAAGCAGGTAGAGAAGAATATAGACCGAGACCAAGAATAAGCGTGTGTATCTGTCAGATATCGGAGTCGCCCCTCCGATGAAACCGTTGTAGAGTAAGGTGTTCAATAACATGAGCACAACTAGCCAGAGGGTGATCCACTCCCACGTAGCCAGATGCGCCAGGTTCCTTGGGACCAGTGAAGTGGTGGGCACCCATATAGCTGGGCCGTATCCGTGATATCCGCAACAGACGTACGGAAGAAGACATCGTAGACCTCGCTGTGGCCCGAGGCAATGCTGAACTCGTTGTCTGTACGAAGAAATATTTCACGATCATGGGCGCCATCGATCGCCGGGGACTCGGCACGTTCAATGCTTGACTCCAAGAGAGATTTGAGAAGAAGCTGCTTCGCCGTCTCCACCCCACCTCGCCCCTCGCCTGGATTGTCCGTAACATAGAGGAGAATCGGCCAGGTATTCCTGTTCAAACGGCGGTTGGAAATTCGAACGTGCTTGGGAATAGAGTAAATGGTGCCGGGCCAGCAGCTCCTGAGGATTACTTCCATGTTGGCCGCCACTCCTCGACGAGGGAGATAAAATCCGGTGAGGAGGGGACCAGAACTAACCATTAGAAGTCAGTGTGTAGCGGCCACAAGAGCGGTGGCGACTCCGGGAGCTTGGACTCCTCCCGGAAGAGGCCAAGATAGTTCCACGTATACAATCCTGTCGACAACAATTTCTATGTTGAGGACGGCTCGGGACTACTAGAGATGTACTACGCGGAGGTTGGGACATGATCAGCATGATGTTGAAATGCGAGTAATACTGAGGTCAGCTTTGAATTCATTCATGTGGAAACTTTGTTGAGTGAGATAGGATGGGGCGAAATGTAATCGATTGGCCCTTGGTTACTTGTAAATTTCATATTTATTATGTAAGAGAAAGCTCTCGACGTGATTATAGAACATGCCGTTTACTGTACATTTGGAAGAAAGCTGGGACTTTGAAATTCGGTTTTAATGAGATATATGGAATACAAAGGACAATCGTGTCCAGCAAACATCTCTAACATACAAAAATTCCCACCCTAGCCTTCACCCACAGATCTTCCCATTCCCATTAGCCCGATGCAATCTTGCACCCCCAGACTCTCAGTAGCTTGAGGCCGCTTTAGCCCTCAGCTTTCCACCGTACTTCCACAAGATCCAAGGATATGGAAGTCCAATTATCAAGCCGATGAAGCACAAGGTAGTATTTGCCCACCCATAACCAAGAACCTCATACATCCGCGGCGAAAATAGAGGGAATAAAAACGCGCACATCGATTCGATGAACCTCGTTGCAGCCATCGCCGACGATGTGTGGCCAGAGTAGCAGTCGATGATGTACGCTGTACTGACCATGCTCACACACTGAATGCCCATCAGAGACAGCAATATCCCGATATCAACTGCTACCCAATACACCCTGTTCTCGGCAGTCCATCCGTAGAAGAGTAGGAAAAGATAGCCGATAATGATACCTGGAACCATAAGTGGGAGGCGCAACTCAGGAGTTTCGACTCCGTCGGGATTTAGAGCCTTCCGGCGACGGTAGAAGAAGTCCACAAAGTAGCCGCAGATTTGCGATCCAGCCACCTCACCAAGAGAGATGGCGATGTAGTGCAGACCACTGATCTCAACTGATTGGCCATAATGCTTGATCCACAAGGTTGAAAATGTTGAGAGAACGATGTAGAGGACACCGTAATTGAACCCTTCCAGAACAGCAGTGATTTGAATGACAGGGTGGAAAGCCAGGAGGCGGAGCGGGCGCGAGAATGCGCGACCAAGAGTTGAAAGTAGAGTTTTGTTGCGCTCGAGATCTTCATGCTCAGTGTGGTATTGCTGGTTGCCTGTTTCGTTCCGAAGGCGCTTGGCTCGTCGATGGAGAATCAAAGGGCCGTAGGTTTCTTTGAAAGTTGTGAATGTGGCAACCATCATGACCGCTTGGAAAATCGATGTCGCCCAAAACATCCATCTCCATGTTGTTCGCTCAGCCATGAATCCTCCAATGATCGGGCCCACGCATGCTCCGAGAAGAGGAATGAGCATGTATAGACTCAAGGACCGACCCCGCTGTTCTGGTCTCCAGACATCACTCAACACCCCGCCAGCGAGAGCATAAATAGAGCTGGCACCAAAACCGGCCAAAAACCGAGCACCAATTAATAGCTCCTTTGAATTGGCGAATCCACAAGCAAGATTCCATACCAGAAACCAGAGACTTGATGAGTGGAGGACCACCTCTCGACCATAGACCTCAGATAGGGGACCAATGAGGAGTGGACCGAATGCAGTTGCCAGAAGGTAGATCGACAACGCCATAGCCGCCTCAGCAGATGTCATATCCAAGTCCTTGGCGATGGTAGACAGAGCTGGTGCCATGATTGTTGAAACCATGATACGATTGAATCCAGTTGCCGAGAGCACGTCTGTGACTGCCCATTTTCTACCAGTAGACCAATCGAGGGGGTTGTCGGCATCGTATGGCTGAGCAAAGACGACGAGAAATGCATCCTCCTGCTTACTTGTGGGCTTCAGGGTGACATCGGTAACAGTGATTGGCGCCATCTCCAGCTCATTGGAGATAGTCACCACGATGGGATCGTGAGGGCTCGAACTCATGTTGATCTGTCGGAGTGGGATATGTTCGTTAATTGTTGATTTGAATTCACGGAAGGCTCAGTATACAGAAAAGGAATAATAATGAAAGTGAAGACCGTGAAGGGGACAGACAGACAGAGGGGGGTATGGGGACGGTATATATACCTCGGAAGCGAGCCTGGGAGTTCCGAGGAAGAGAGAGTGGGATGAGGGTCTGCTATCGTACTACAAGGTTTCAACCGTAGCATAAGACGGCAACACTCGGTCCCAAGCCCGCTGAGGGACGATCTCGATTGGTTGAAATGAGGATGAGGGGCCCGTTAGATGATCAGATAAGATGACGAGACACACCCACCTTCCTAGTAAGCTTATCAGATCTCAAGCTACCCGAACATCCCCTGCTAGCTCTTTGCATTGCATGTTGGAGGCACGAATGGGTGTGTTGGTTCTGGACTTGGCATTGTCTCTCCAGGAGCGAACGAATCAGTGCCCAAGGTCTTGTTCAATAATCTTGGGAAAAGGTCCTCCCCACACAATAACCCCGAAACCTCCTCAAGCATTAATGAGTCATTTAAAGGTTGAGAAGAGGACCGGAAAGGAATGTTGAGATTCGGAGGTCTTCCTCGAGGCAGAGAAAGTATAAACGAACTCCGTATCCGACGCTAAATTATCATCTCTGTCCCACTTTTCACGTGGAATTTCAGACGTGCCATGCTTCCTTCCATGCCCTCGCCTGGAAATTTGAGGTTCTCCTGAATCGAGTATGAAGCTCGCAGTAGTTCAAATGAACCACTTATTTTGAGAAACGGAAAGGAAATACCCTTATAGGGTTTTCTGCATATCCCAGCCCCATAGCCCCATAAGCAAACATCGTTTTGCTAGTGCCGAAGATTTTGCCTCCAACCCCCGAAGTCGAAACGGGGACTGAAGTAGCTACAATATGTAGCCGAATAAGATAATGCCGTTCAATCACGTCTACAACAGGTTTTATAGTGTAGTGGTTAGCACGTGGGATTTTGACTTCATATCAGAATCACGGATATTACATCCTTTCCCGAATCCCCGGTTCGAGCCCGGGTAAGACCTAAAGTGATTAATATTTTTGCATTTCTTTTTGCTCGACGCTTTGGGTTTGATTTTTGATTTAATCTTCATATCTACGCGCCTCTTCGACTTTTTTTGGCCACTTTCTTTGTAAAAATTTGCAGTGGGGAGAGTCATGACATCAAGCGAGGGTTCCCCTGGGCAGCCCTGCTGAAGATTTACCCCGCCATACGTTAGCGTCAGGGGTAGAGAGGCAATGTTTTGTAAACACCGAATTCTGACCGATGGAACGGATATCCAAATACGCACAGTCGCATCAGACAATTGTTTTCTATGCTCGGAAAAGGAGAGCCAACTGAATCTCGGGCCTGACATACGTGAATGGATTGGGGTTAGACGCATTTTTAACTGGATCTCTCTCACCCCGCCAGGTCTTGTACCCGGCGAGCGCCATTCAAGCACATTGAGCTCTTGGCCGATAGTTCATTCAGCGAGGTCGATAAAGTCCAGGTCCTGGGATTTGGTAGCGTGCCTGGGACGAAAGACCACTCTCGAATTCCATATCTCCCTGAAAACCCGGGGGACCGGCTCCCTGCATCCCTCCACCCACCAACTCATCGCTGGTCCTCCGGTGCCACAGAACACAAAGTACAAAGTACAAAGCGCACGCAATAGTATTGTCCCACAACCTAATTACCACACGGCACCATGCAGGAACATCGATCTCTCCCTCTCCCATCCGGTCCCCAATCAAACATTGTCGGGAAGTTGCATATTGGCCATGGGACGGAACGGCCACACACCCGGTGAAGCGTGGAGAAACCATGTCCTGGGCCTCCTCATTATTTGTCTGCTCCCTTTGCTTTCTCGATTCTCTATCATTGTTCAATAAACTCCCAGCTTCTTGCATTTCATGTCCAGGATATCAGTTTGTGTCTTAGGGCGTAAATCAAAATCATTTCAAATGTTCTCTCACAAAGTTCTCTTATTCACCATCCAGGCTCTTGCGCATCTCGCATCAGCACAACAGCCAACCCCATTCATACCCGCAACGCACACCGGCTATAGCATATCGACAATCCCAGCACCACTTCCAAAGCCTTCATCAACACGCACAAGCAACGCAACATCATTGTACATACCTCCCCATTCCCCTCTCTCTCCTAGTCTCCCCTCTGCTCCCTGCACTCTCACACGCTCAAACTTGAACTCAACCCCGAAAACTAACCAAAACTCTCACCCATCCAGCACCCCCCAGCAACCCATTTCTTCCCCCCAGTCGACTCAACATTCCGCTTCCCAAACACAAACACCAACGAAAAAGACGCCGTTTCCGTCTGGCGAGCTCTCACATCCGTGCAGTCGACATGGACGATGGGAGTTGAGTATGCGAGGATAACAGCTGCTGTCTACGGTACCTCCCCTGTTCCTCTTCACAATCATAGACCCGTATTCTATAATTTCTACCACCTTGATAGTGTCTCACTCTATTTCCACAAATCCGTGTGAGCTGATACAGTCTGCAAATATACAGAGGCGGCACCAACATCAGCTCGCTCCTCTCTCTCCATCTCGGGTTATAATTGGGATAGAATAGTGCAAGCACCATGGTATAGCGACGTAGATGCTTCAACGCAGGAGTTAGTACAGACACAAGAAGAAGCGCTGCAGAAGACGTTTGATAGAATGGTTGCGAAGGCTGAGGTGGCTAGCAACTGGGGCGATAGGCCGAAGGGAAGCATACCGGGGATGCTTTTGGGGATGGCGGTTGGAATAGCGATAGAGATTTGGTATTGGTACTGAGATGGTTGTTTACTACTGTCATGATTGTAAAGAGCTGCTATTTCTACGTTACACAAGGAGACCAGTGAGAAGAAAATTCTACGGTTGGGTATATGTACTCCGTGTTCCACCGAAAATTCCCTGTTCCTTCCCATCGTACCCTATCGAACTGCTTAATCCTGATCACCAACGGCTTTTCTAACCTTAAACCCAACTCCAGGAAGCCTACTTCTCAAAGCCAAACTACTGCAAACGACACTGATACTGCTCAACGCCATCGCCAAGCTAGCCCAAACGGGATCCAATTTGACATGCTTCCCTCCACTTGAAATGGGATAGAAAACTCCAGCCGCAACAGGTAACGCGACCAAATTATAGATCAAAGCCCAACCAAAGTTGAATTTAATCCGACGGAAAACAAATTTGCTCAAGTCTAGGAGGTTAATGAGGGAGTTGAGGTTACTGGAGACGAGAACGAACTCGGCCGAAGAAATGGCGATGTCTGAGCCGGAACCGATGGCGATACCAACATCTGCGGTCGTGAGTGCTGGAGAGTCGTTGATACCATCTCCGACCATCGCGACTAGGGCACGTTTCTCAAAATGGTCGTTCCCGGAGAGGGTATGTGTTTTGAGAGCTCGCTGCAGATATCTGATCTTGTCGGCCTTTTCGCTTGGAAGAACGCCAGCGATGATATTGGATAGAGGAATACCGACTTTTGTTCCGATGGCGTTGGCTGTCATTTGATTATCGCCGGAAAGCATCCAGATATCTTTCCCCCCTTTCAGCAAAGCATTGACGATTCCAGGGGCTTCTGGTCGAATGGGGTCAGAGACTGCAAACATAGCTGCAAGTCGCCAAGTATCAGCTGTCTCCGTTGAATCGTTGTACACCTTGACTGCCCCTAATGCAACAGATTTTCCCTCTGTCTTCCACTTCTCAAGTGTAGACTGAGTGAGCCCAGGCAGCACAACGTCATTGTTGGACATGAACGACTCATTGCCAATTATCATCTTGGCTGCAACTCCGGCTCCCGCGACCGAACCACTAAGGCTGAACCTCCCCTTCATGCCCCTTCCAGCAACTTCCTCGACATTTTCCGCATTGACATCTGATGCCTTCATAGTCTTGCAGAATGATACAAGGGCTTTCGCCACTGTGTGGCTGCTGTTTTCCTCCAGTGCCTTAACCATACCAAGGGTCGTCGATTGTGATTCCTCTCGAGTGTCATCCTCAGTTCGCTCGAGTTCCTTGACCAAACGAAGAATTGTAGATTGACCAACTTGCTGATATTTGTCGAAGTCGACCGGGATTATCTCACAGTCGGTAACAACCGGTTCTCCACCCATGGTCAAAGTGCCTGTTTTGTCAAAGACGATACAATCGAGTTTGCTGGCTTTCTCGAATGCTTCACCTCCTCCTTTGACAAGTATTCCGTATTTCGCTGCAAGTCCCCCACCGACAAACAGTGCTGTGGGAGCAGCCAATGCCAGACCGCAAGGACAAGCAACGACGAAGACTGCAATAGCGAATTGCAACGACCACGCAACCCAGCCGCCTTGGTCATGGCCCAAGTAATCTTCGGGAAGGGTCCCCGAGAGACCGAGTCCCAGCCAAACTAACCAAGTCGTAATTGCAATCAGAGTAACAAATGGAACGAAGTATCCAGTTAAGGTGTCGGCAATTCTTTCCATCGGAGCCCGACGAGTTTGACCTTCACGGACGGCCTTGACAATCTGATCCAACATTGATGACCCTGCCACACCAGTGATCTTCACTGAGACGGGAGACTCTTTGTTCATGGTACCAGAGAAGACCTCATCCCCCAAAACTTTCTTGACGAGCCTTGATTCTCCTGTCAGACTAGACTCATCGAACTTGGACTCTCCCTGAATAATCGTTCCATCACAAGGCGGGGATCCTCCGTGAAGAACTTTGACGATGTCGCCGTATTCAAGAAGGTCAACATTCACACGCATGAGAGTTTCCAATTGAGGACCATTGGAAAGTTGCTCCCCGGTGGGAATACCATCGATCAGTGTATCTCCGCTTGGGCGTCTTGTCATGTCTGGACCTTGAACAAGTAGCGCCTCATTTGGCCTCAGCTTCCCAAGCATTGTAACGGCATCGCCTGTTTTGGATTTGCTGTAAGACTCAATGAGCCGACCAACAAGGAGGAAGAGAGTGAGGAACACGACCGAGTCGAAGTAGAAACCACTGTCCTCCACGTGATTTGATTTGTTAACACCAGCTGCAATGAGCTGAGCAACAGATGAGATGTATGCAATCGAAGTGCCAAGGGACATGAGCATGTTCATACTTCCGAAACGATAAAATCGTTGTAGCATCGGCGTTGAGCTTCCACGTCGCCACATTGATCGAATCTCTTTCAAAGCCCGGATATGAAAAACATCGGCACACAGGAAGTAAACTGGGGTGGCCATAATGAACAGCGACCACTGTGTACGACTGACACCTGCGTACAATGGATGCATCAAGAACATCTTGCCCGGGTTGTCTCGAGGGACCAAACTCATGTAAACGATACCAATGATCAGAGTAGGGATAGCGATGATGAATGTGAGCATTACCCGAATGAGTATTCGAAGCTGTTCTCGTGCGTGAAGTTGCCGGGATCGTTCTTCTAGCGTGGGTGGATGGTAGATTGACGGGGTTATGGCCTCATCGACTGCCGTTATGACTGCGATGATATCTCTGATGGTGAAGTTGGGTACGTGAGGCGTGTACGTAATCTTTAGAATTGGTGTCTGGAGAGATACGCGTGTTTCGATATTGACCTTGCTGCCGAAAGCTGTTGAGAGAGCCGCATGTACACGTGGTGGGCAGTGATCGCAGAACATTCCATCAATCTTAATATCGACCGTACGTTGTGCACTTCGCATGCCCGAGTCAACTATGCTAGTATCAACGATTGCGTCGATAGCTGCATCGTATCCAATGTCCTCGATAGCTTCGACGATGTCGTTCTTGTGCCCTTCGCCCACAAAGTCGACTGTAGCGCTGTTCGAAATCAAGTTGACGACAACTTTGCGGATCCAATCTTTCTTCTCCAATTCTTCAGTGATGGCCCCAACGCAGGCTGCACATGTCATCCCCCCCACAGCGAGAGAAGCCCGCCATATGCCTGAGCTGGCTTGTGTGTCGACCGAGTCAATCGTGACCAGCTTGAGATCCGGGGATGAATGCATCTTGTTTGTGCCTCCATGATCAGCAGATGACGATGCTTTTGAATCGGGAGT